AACCTCAGCAGTTGATAGGTGTGCATTCCAGGTCCTCTGCTGGGAAGGCAGCATGAGCGGAGGAAAAGATACAGACCAAGGCTGAGAAGGCCTGGAGAGACGCTGCAGGGATGGTGGCAGCAGGTATCTCCACTGGCCAAGCAGTGGGCTTCCTGCTGAGAAGAGGGGTGAGTGTGAGAGCCAGTTTATGTCTGGGGTGGGGTGCTGTAGACTGACCAGCAGTCCTCACGGTGTGTTCCCCTAGACAAAAGTGAAAGCACCTCCCTTGGCTTGTTGGAATTACAGATTCCCAGGCCCAGGTCTGACTCGGCAGGTGGAGCTTCACAATCTGTTGTAACAGGCGTTCTAGGTGGTTCTGATGGTCACCCAGAGACAGGTTCTGAAGAACTAGCCTATGATGCTGAGCCCAGACTGGGGTGTGCATGTTCCAGATGTGTGTGGCAATGCCTCGGAGCTACTGCTGAACTGTAGCCCTGAAACTGCTGCATGGCTGACACCCAGGGGCTTGTGTAACAAAAGCAGAATCAGCCCTCCCCCAAAACCTGCCAAATCACAAGCTTATTGTGATCACACACACCCTAGGGGATTCACTTGTACCCCACAGGCTAGCCTAGAGTCAAGCATAGGGCTTGATGATCAGGACTGTGGTGTAGTCAGGATGTTCAAACTGTGATGCCGTCTTTATGAATGAGTATGGGTTTAGCCCTGGGGTTGGAGTGAGACAGAGGTTAACAGCATGGAACATAAAAAAACATCACCACTAACAGCTCTAGCTGTCACTTGCCTGTCCTGGGTATCTCCTGAAATGTCACACCCTAGTGCTTCACTGGGCAGTGACCTAGTTCTGACCCCGTCCGGAGAAAACTGAGGCACAGGGACCGAGTAGCTTATTCAGTGCTCCTAAGCTAGTTGGATGGCCTCTTTTTCACCAGTGGCAGAGCTGAGGTTCAAACTCATAATACTTGGCTTCAGGGGTGTGTGTCCTAGACCACTGCAGTATTGTGGCTTTCATATCCCTGATCTCCGAACTGCAACTTTTCTGTTTTATTGCTGGTTCTGGTTTTATATCTGTGACAAATACCCTGATTCGAAGCCACACAGGAGGAAAGGGTTTATTTGGCTTACAGGTCCAGGTGATGGTCTATTGTTGTGGGGAAGTCAATCCTTACGAGAGCAGACAGAAATGAGTGCGTCCAGGTTGTCTGCTGGCTTGTTCTTAGCCAGCCTTCTCCACCCTTACATAGTTCAGGGCCCTGCTTAGGGAATGGGGCCACCCACCATGGGCTAGGTCTTCCGATATCAACTAACAAGACAGTCCCCACAGACATGCCCACAGGCCAATCTGTCCTACTTAATTCTGCTCTTCCTGGGTGACTCCAGGTGCTGTGGAGTTGACAGTTAAAACTGACCAGCACGTTGCTTAACTTTTAACAGTTAGCCAATATGTTGTCAAGTGGAGCTCCTAAAGTAAAATTCCACAGCTTGGTTCTGACAAAGCTTAAGAATAAGCCAACTTATCATCCCCCCTAGGCAGCTACTGCATGCTCTCGGAGAAGGGTTAAACATTCACATGGGGCCCCATGGGCACATCTGTGCTTATTGTCACAACACTGTGTAAATTTACCCCATTCTGTGGAGACCCCCTGCAGGTGGCCAGATGGTCTCTGTCTTGGTGAGGAAGAGGCCACCCTGAACCACCAGGGTTGTTTGCTCTGATAGGTCACAAGGAAAACAGATGCTGTCCCAGCCAAGTGGGGATAGCTCTATTGCTGTTACCCTATGTTAGGAGTCAAGGACTCAGAAACCAAACTGCTCACAATCATGTCTGACTTGCTTGCTCATCGTAGTCTGTTTTATCAGAATCAAACTACCATTTAATGCTTTCACATCATTGTCTTTCCAAAGGTGGGGGGTTCCTGGATATTTTGAATGGTTTTAGAGTATTGGGAAGAGACGCCCACCCCCTCCTCCCACTCCACAACCGATGACGATGTGAATAGAAAACTAGACATTTGTATATGTGTCTTACCCTTTGGGGTGAGGGTCTGCTTTGGGGAAGATGTTTCCATAGTCATCCATCCCAGCAGCCCCTTTCTCTGCTGCCCACGAGTGTTATTTAGCAGGCTTCATCAGTGTGCACTGAGTGAGTGATAGCAGGGTGGCCTGTCCACAGGCAAGCAGACCTTTAATGTAGGCCACAGATGCAGAGGGCTGTTTGGTTTTGCTTCACGGCCATTGCTACCTTTTTCTTCACTAAAACCCATCATTTCTGATCTTGAATTTTGACCCCTTTGTTTGGAAGTTCAGTTCAGTTCAGTTCCGTGACTTTGTTCCTCAAAGCTCTGGGTCTGTGGACCAGCGGCTCTGGACTACCCTGGGAGATTGTTGAAAATGCAGGGTCTCAGGCTCCATCCCAGACCTCTCAAACCAAAGTGCACTGCCCCGCCCGCAACCCCCATGTGGTGTGTGTGTGTGTGTGTGTGTGTGTGTGTGTGTGTGTGTGTGTACACTCACATGAAGAGGCCAGAGGTCAAAGTTAGGTGTCTTACTTCATCATTCACCTCCTTACATTTTGAAGTAAATTCTCTCCATGGGCCTGGGGCTCACTGGGCCAGCTAGGTTGGCTGGCCAGCAAGCCAGCTTTTTTGTGGGTGATCTGGGGGGATCAACTGAGCTTCTCATGCTTGCATAGCAAGTGCTTTACCAAGTGAGCCACCTCTGCACCCCAGAACCTGCATCCCCACAAGGTCTTCAGCACCAGCAACTGTGAGATGTTCTCCCCAGTTGTCTGGGTTTCTCCATTACCTTCAGCTAGAGTCTCCACTGAGCACTTACTTTGGGGCTGGATTTCAATTTTGGTAGATTTTCAGAACTTAAAAACATACACATTCCAAAATTCCTTCCTTTGCCTTTCTATGATGTCATTCATTTTACCTGGCCTGCCACAAGAAAGAAAAAGGCAAATTGGGTCCAAGTCCTATATGTATTCTAAGACTAACTTCTTAATGGCATCTGTTAAAGCCTCCACCATTAACTGAGTCCCAAGTGTTGCCAAGATTAATTGAGAAATGCCTGAAGGTAAAATAAATACTGCTGCTTAGTTTAATTCAAAACCGTATCAGCCAAGAATGGAGGTGCAATTAGTGATAAAGATGTTAATAATTAGTTGTGCTCTGTTAAGTTTTATATTCATGCTTATATAGAGTGGAGAAAGAATTTCCCCAGGAGGGCAAAAATCAATGTTTCACCTTGATTGCTATTTTAATGTGCTTATTTTAATGGGGCCATCCTGTAGAAACCCTTGGGCACATTTCCAGTTTTACATAAATGTAGAATTAATTATTATGGAAGCATATAATTTTAGAGTTGGAGCAACCTTGGCGGTCATTTCATCCAGTTTAGTCATTTCTCAAATAAGAATAGAATTGCTTAAGTCCTTCTGCAGAGTGGTGGATGCCGGGTGAATCTCCTCTTGATGACCAGGACACCTTCTTAGATCTCTTGGGCACATGTGTTTCCTGTTGCCTCAGAATTCCCCCAGACACAGCGAAGTAGATTAATTCTAAGGGTCGTACCCTCATCTGCATTCTGCCTGGTTGTTTTAGGTTGTGAGGTTGGGGTCCTGGAACATGTTCCTGGTTCCTTTTTGTTTTTCTGCACCCTTCCTCACTCTGCATTTTGTCCCCAGTATTTGTATAACAAATTGACATGTGTGGGGCTGGAGCGTGGGTCCTCTTCTTGCAGAGGACCTGAGTTCGGTTCCCAGTGCCCACATCGGGCAGCTTATGACCTTTTGTGACTCTGGCTCCTGAGGATCTGGTGCCCTCTTCTGCCCTCCCTGACACAAGTAAAAATAAAAGCTAATTGACTACATTGACAGGCAGCCGAGTTCTGGACCTGACTCTGGTTTTTCTTTGCAGCACTGGTACTGGGGATGGAAGGCAAGCTTCATGCGTGTGAAGGATGTTCTCTACTAGTGAGCTCCATCCCCAGCTTGACTGCTTTTTAACCTGCTTGTTAGAACTGACTGTGTCTTCCCACTGGTGGCATGAGATTGGACATGGAGGAGTATTTATACCGTGGAAGGGCCACATGCTCCGAATCAGGGCCTTTTGACTTGGAGAAATGCAGTGGTTAAATATTTATGAGCACAACCACTGCACATGCGATTTTTTTTTTTTTTTTTTTTTTTTTTTTTTTTTTTTTTTTTTTTTTGGGTTTTTCGAGACAGGGTTTCTCTGTGTAGCTTTGCGCCTTTCCTGGAACTCGCTTTGGAGACCAGGCTGGCCTCGAACTCACAGAGATCCGCCTGGCTCTGCCTCCCGAGTGCTGGGATTAAAGGCGTGCGCCACCACCGCCCGGCTCATGCGATTTTTATAAGGCCTCAGAAGGCAGTTCATCTTTACAAAATCTGAAGAGTCATGCCAGCACAAGGACATCTCATTGCTTAGCATGGGTTTCCTCAAGAATCATGGAATGGTAGACAATCGCTTATTACCCACTGGTCTTTTAAGGTCAGTGCAAGGTAGATATCAGGCCTGTAGTAGAATGTCATGGTTCAGGCTAAGCTCCACTTACCCAAGAAAGTAAGCTCTTTGGATATGCATGGTCATGGAGATCATGAGAAATTTAGACACAGCTGAGTGAGAAAAAAAGAAAACACATTATAAGGGGGGGAAAGTGAATGGGAACTAACTGTTGCTGAAGTTGCAACTGTGTGTTTACAGGTCTCAGAAACCCTAAGTAGCTCCTGTGGAAATGCCCAAGCTTCATGATGCAGCGACCTTACACTGACCATGGCTTGTGATTCTTTGTGTCTAATCTCTTACATTTTCTGCAGGTCATCCGACCACTGATTCCTACCTCCATCTTACTTTAGTCTCTAGGGAGCCTCTGCTCTGGCTTCCATGATGTCTCTTCTGAGTCATGGGTCCAGAGCTCTTGAGTTGGTATACAAATTCACATGAATCTGTTGGGCTTTGTTGTGTGCCTATCTTTAGGAGCAGGACCCGAGGTCCCATCGGCCCTGGCAAGTATGGCTACGGGAAGGCTCCCTACATCTTACCGCTGCAGACGGATACCACACATACTCCACAGAGGCTTCGGAGACAAAGGCCTTCATCCCGGCATTCCAGGTCCCAGGAGGCATCTGCTTCTAGGCAGGGCTACAGACCACCAGCCCACCAGTTCTCCCACAACGGACCTCTCTACCAAAGTGACAGTGGCCCTCGTTCTGGACTGCTGGCTTCTGAGGCCTCTATCTATCAGCTGCCTCTGACTCATGATCAGAGCTATCCTGTGGCTCCAGGTCTCTTCCACAACCCGGAATTGAGCAGCAACAGTGGTGCCAGGCCCCATGGGGCAGCTCAGGCCTTCTCCCAGCCTCTGCGATCTACAGCAATCTCATGCATCGGGGCCTATCGGCAGTACAAACTGTGCAACACCAATGTGAGTACACAGCACCTCAGTCTGGGCTTGGAGGAAGCTGCTTGTCTTCATTTCGGGTCAGTTGGCACCCAGTACAGGGAAGATTGAGGGGGACAATGTTAACAAGCCTTTCATCTCCTCTCTTTTCCCTCCATGTGTTTACCCGTATGTGTTGCGTGTGTGTGTGTGTGTGTGTGTGTGTGTGTGTGTGTGTGTGTGTGTATGTGTGTGTGTGTGTGTGCATAAAGCTAATGCTTTTAAAAAAGTATACATAATGATGGAGTCACTTCAATAAGCATGTGATAGTGATATTATTAATTGTCTATTTAAGGATAATAACTTTGGAAGTCTTAGTAGCGTATGCCAAAGTGATTATATGATTTTGTATGTGTGCACCTATTTACGTGTGTGCACAGGTGTGTTTAGAGCAGAGACCTGTTTCAGATGTCTTCCTCACTCACTTTCTACCTTATTTTTAATTTATTTTTTTCTTGTTAAAGATTTTTTATTTTTATTTCTGTGTATGTGTGGGGGCCTCTCTGCATTTATATACATCATGTGGGCGCAGGAGCACATGGAGGCCAGAAAAGGACCTTTGGGTCCCTTAGAACTGGACAGTTGTGAGCTGTCTGATGTGGGTGCTAAGAACAGAACCTGGGTCTTCTGGAAGAGCAGTATATACTCTAAACTGCTGATTCGTGTCTCCAGCTCCTCCTTATTTTTTAAGGCATGGTCTTGTTGATTCTGGAGCTGACAGCTCTTCTAGCTGGTCAGCAAGCCCCAAGGGTCCTTCTTTTTCTGTCTCCCCAGCACAGGGATTATAGGCACACATCACCACACCCTTTTGTAGCAAGCACTTGACAGAATGTGACATCTCCTTAGCCTCCACAATCTTTAGTCTTTGCTCATGAGTCTATGGGACAAGTGAAGTTTGGCTGCCAAGGAAGTAGGTGTTTGGGGAGGAGCCACCTAGCAATCTTCTTGGAGGCGCCTTGCTACTCCATAGAGTAAACACTTCAGGTGATGTGCCCCAAAGGAGAAGATGGTGAGATCAGGAAGAGCCCCATCTTAGGAGAGAAGCCAGGACAGCTGGGGGTAGTAGATGCCTGCAGAGTGCTCTGGCCAGCAATTATGTTCTCACCTGCGGCAGTATTTTCAAGGATTTTAAGAATTTGAATAGCTGTCACGGTGCAGATCGTCTGAATACTCACTTTGGATATTAGTTCAATAAGTGGTTGCTGATCCCTCCTTCTTCCCGTATTTCAATAATTTCTGCTTTTATGAATCACTCACCTTAAGCTAGCCATCGCAGGCGCTACTTTTCCTGCCTCCTCTAATCCTCTGCCTAACTCTATGAATTTGCTGCCCTCTCCGTTTTTCAGTTGCAAAGCAAGGTTCACCGACTTGGGAGGCACCACAGCTGCTGGATAGGAAAGCAAGTGGTTGTCCTAAACTGTATGATCAGGTGCGCTGCTTCTAATGGCGGTGTTGAACCAGGCAGAGAAGGGAGAGGAAAGGGGACTGGGAAGAGGTTAACTTTCTAAGCTGCTACAGTTTTCATTAATAATTTAATCTGCCTTAATACTCGTCAGTGGGTAACAGGACAGCTGGTACATATTAGCTTCAATTTCCTCATTAAAAATCTATTTCCTGCTATGGAGTCCATAGAAGTGACTTAATTTGTGATCTTAATAATTCCTCCAAACGCCTACTTTGCCTTTTAGCCTGTTCCTCCATGGTGAGATTTCAGGGATTATCCATTTCTATAAAGCCCTCATTTTTCTGAAGCCATAGCTAGCCAGCCAGCCAAATTGCAATGAATTCCATGCCATGGAAGATGAAAGCCCCATTGTCTTATTGGACTGAGGATAGAGCTCTGTGGTCGGGCATTTGGCTAGCATGCATGAGGCTCTACATTTGATCCTCTGTAATGAAAAAAAAAAAGTCACATCTACTTTATAGTGTTGTTATGAGGATCAAATGAGGTGTTGTCTAAAAATGTTTTGTGAATTGAAAAAGTAAGGAGTTGCTTGCCTACAGGATCAGATGTGGCTCTTGTTTCGAATAAACATCACTGTTCTATTAAAATGAAATCAATTCTTTGGTAAAGTAGAACATATTCTCCCATTGACAAGTACATCTTGTAAATCTGAGATCAAAGTAAGTCGTAAAGAGAGAGGAAAAGGCAGAGGACGCTGGGAAGAAATGTGAACCATCATCTGCTTAGTCCTTCTTTCATTTGATTTGCATTCTTTTTAAAAAAATGTCTGTATGAGAGAGAGACAGAGACACACACAGAGACACATGCACACAGGGACACACAGAGAGGGTGTATGCTATGTGTACTTGAGACCAAAAGAGAGTGACAGATCCCCTGGAGCTGGAGTTATAGGCATTTGTGAGTCATTTGAAGTGGTACTAGAATCTGAACTTGGGTCCTCTGGAAGAACAAGTGATCTTGGCCCATGAGCCATCTCTCCAGCCCCATGCATATCAATTTATGATCCAATGACTATTTGCAAAATAGGGAGCTAGGGTCAAGTGTGATAACATATGTCTTTAATCCCAGCACTTGGGAGCCAGAGTCAGGCTCGTCTCCATGAGTTGGAGACCGGCCTGTTCTACATAGTGAGGGCTACATAGAAAGAACATGTCTCCAAAAGCTACACCAAAACGGGGTGGGGGAGGGGGAGAAACCAAACAAAACAGAGCTAGGAATGGTACAGAAAAGCAGAAGTGAGCCAGTCACCTCTCTGGTCCCCTGGTCCCTTGGCTTGCATTTTTAAAGCACACACACACTGCTGTATCTAGGCTGACAGTAGCAGGCTTGCTCTCATTAGGTAGAAGCTATGGCTTCCCTGGGAGCCAGAGTAAATATATTGAGGAGACTGAAGTGCAAAGAACAATTCATCTGAGTTCATTCATGATGCTGCCTGATTTTGGGGGAGGTGTGTTGCACAGGCCAGCTGGGAACTCACGGCGTAGCAGAGGGTGCCCTTGGACTCTGCTGAGACTGTCAGTGTACACCACCACACCTACTGCTCTGGACATTTTGAAAGTAGGAAATAGTTAAGTCTCCAATACAGGACAAAATAAAATGTCCTGTGCCTTATAGGTTTCATTCCATATTTTTTTTTGTTGAGACAGTTTCCATAGTGCATGCCACTGTCCAGGTCACACACCCTGCCTGTCTTTATGGGGAGATATCATCTCCCATGGGTCCTCATATTGCCTGTCTCCTTTTTACAAGGTCCAGACTTGTGACTCCTACCACAGCCCATGAATACTTGAAAACTTCTCCTTTTTAGGAGTCTCCAAGGCCATTTCTGGCTGTGATGATCTCCTGGAAGGTTCTATGAGATTTAGTATATAGTTATAGTTTCTTACGGTGAGAATATACAAGGAAAGCCTGGAAAAGAAAAAGGCACAGGGGACCAAGTCCAAAGCCAGCCTGGCACTGGGTCCCAAGAGTCCTTTCCTTTGGAATCTCACCATGGGTCCTTTATTGACGAATTATTGAGAAATGTGAATTTTCTGCTAGAGACTGATTTCTCTGTACTAAAACTTTTGGGGAGATTTGGTCATGTGGCCATTCTCTGTCTCGTTAGAAAATCCTGGACTCACAAAGGAAAGTCAGCATTCTGCATAAACGAGGTTGTTTATACAAATATTTGAATCCTGCCGTCTGTGCTTACCATTAGAAGGTGAAGAGTACAATCCTGAAGTCTGAGTTCCTAGACTTCAGCCCCGGCTCAGCTTCGCAAACAGGCTTTTCTGAGGAGAGCAGTCTCGGCATCCGAGCACCAACAATGTCAGGTAGACATCTCCGGCCCTCCCCTTCCTCACACCCATGAAGAGATGACATGCCTCCCTAAGTTACGCAGATCTTCCTACTCCAAGAGGAAAAAGCCAAGGACAATAGTCCAGAAAACATTACCCAAACTAACAGAGGATGCAGGCTAGTACTTAGGTCCTCTCCAAAGATGAAAAAGCACATGTGCACTTTCAATTCTCTCCTGGATAGTATCTGGGAGAAGAGGAAGATGGGGATATGACCGAGTACAGACTGCAAACACCCGTTTCTCAACTCCATCCTTGAACTTGTGCTCAGCCTACCTTACTTCCGTTTTGATGGACACCCCTCATTTCTAAGGTTCCTACAATGAGGGGCTCAATTCTGAGATGTATAGTGATGACTATGAGGAGGCTGGATGAGGGGTAAATATTTTGCAGACTTCTATAAATCAGAACTCGGTCTCTTCTCTGCTCATGGCTCCTCCATCCTCAGCATAATGGTCTAAAGCAGCGGTTCTCAACCTTCCTAATGCTGTGACCCTTTAATACAGTTCCTCATGTTGCAGTGACCCCAACCATAAAATTATTTTCATTACTAATTCATAACTGTAATTCTGCTACTGTTATGAACTGTAGAGTAAATATATTTAGAGACAGAGGTTTGTTGAGGGGGTCACGATCCACATGTTGCGAACCACTGGTCTAGAGAGCTTCAGGGAAAATCCTGTTTGAAGTATTTGTCTGGCATTGTATATGTGCTAGAGTACTTGGCAAGCGGGGGAGAATCCTGGGAGCACAGCATGGGGGCCCTGGGTTGGGGAAGACTCTACTGGGTAGGGGAGAGTTAAGCTAGGTTTATAAAAATGACCAACAAAGACAAACATGAGCATGTGGGAACAAAGAAAGGCTTAGCCAGGGACAGGAAGAAGCAGGAGGGATTGTGTCAGGGTCTCAGGTGCCAGCCAGGTGGTGGGAGTTCATCCCCTGCCCATTCTGTCCTGCTATTAATGATCAGAACCCTTTAACCAGAATGATATCTTTTAACAAATCAAGATCCAGCAACATGATTTGGACCTTGCTTGATTTTTTTTAGATGCATATGAAACATTTGATGCACAGTGAAAGTTGGAAAAGCAGCCTAAAGTGCTGTGCATGCTTGGGAGAATGAGGTAGGAGCGTTCTGAGTCCAAGGCCAGTTCAGGCTGCTCATTAGAGATGCCTAGAGA